CCAGCCAGACGCTGCTCTCCAAGTTGGTGGGCTGTGTTCCTGGCTGCATGCATGCTGTGGCTGTGCATGTGGACGCAGCATTTATCAGTGACGTTATCAGCCACATAGGCCAAAAAAAGCCAATTGCCGATAATGTCAATTTTCCTTTTATCGGTGCTGATACAATATGGACTGATATGTCGGTGCACCTCTATCATAAATAAACCTGTCCTGGAATGGCATAAGTTTAAGACACCTAAAGGGTGCTTAAAACTAATTTACACATCCTAATAAATGGACAATGCAGGGGTTAAGATCTCCCTGAGATGCCTAAAACTAATGTGCAAAAAGGCCCAACATCAAATGACATCACCTGCTTGGGACCACTCCACTGCGGTCTGTATTGGGCAGACAAAGATCTTTCATGTAGGGATCTACAATGAATATACATCAATCTGACATCAAGTTCAGAAATCCAAAAAAGCCTGTGGCAGAGCACTTTAACCTCCATGGCTTGTCCTCCACTGACCTCAGAATGGGTGCCTGTTCTTAAGCAACAAACCTTTAAAAACCTTTTTGAACATGAAATTGTGGAAAAAGAAATCATTCACAGCCTGGGCTGTGTTAAGTATGGTCTCAATAGAGACTATCCCATTACCTGGATTAGTTTTTATAATCTGTATGTCCCTCAGTGAGTTTACTGATTTGTTTTTTCTTCAACCCACCTTTGCCTTCCTCAGCAGTACCCCCTCTCCTTTTCTCCCTATTCCCTACCCTTTATATTTAAAACACTCTTTCTGTTTGAATACCTGCTTCCTGCAAGCATCTAACAATGTAAGCTGTGGCTTATGAAAGCTTATGCATCTCTGATTTACCCTGTGGGTGCATCTATATGAGACACTATACTGTGCAATAGCATAGTTTGCCATGTAGTAAGTGTGTGAGTCTATGTGTGCACACGCTTACTGCACAGTAAACTACTAACTGTGAATAAATTTATTACCTGCAAATGCAAAGTTACTTGCGATTACTTACTGCACTGTAGCACTCGTGTAGATGCCTGACTGGGAGCAAATTTGCTCCCAGCCAGCCGGCCACCAGGGGGCAGGAACTTGCTCCCTGCGCCCGACAACTGCCTGCTGATGGAGCAGGCTCCACCACTGGAGCCCAGGCAGGGACTATGTCCCCCTGCCCTGGCAGCAGGGAGCTTCAAGCCCCGCTCCTCCCCCCCGAACATGCTGGCCCACCAGAGGCTTGGGACACGGGCCTGTGACCTGCCCCTCCCCTACAGCTCTGTCCAAGTCCCCTGCTCCCGACTGGGAAGGCAGGGCCAGGAGCTCCCTGCTGCCAGGGCAGGGGGACATTGTCTCTGCCCTGGCAGCAGGCAGCCCCTGGGGGAAGGCTGCATTGTCCTAGCCCTGGCCAAGAGACAGGTGTCTCTTGGCCTGGTGCTCCCTGCCAACTCCTGGGCTAGCACCCAGGGACAACCTAGAGCTCCCCCTGGTGGTGACAGGGGCCCACTGCAGGGCCCCATGAGGTGGAAGCAGTTTGCTGCTATTAGCAAATCTGCTCTCACTTCTCTGCATATGTAGATTCCTGCCTAGAAGCATTTACTTGCAAGTGAACTGCTTCTGTATCAAATGTATGTGTAGACACACCCAGTAAGATGCAACTCTGGTGTAGGCTATTGGCCTTATATGAATCAGGAAAAAAACCCAACACTTTACAAATCACTTTTAAATAATTCTACATGGCTTAATTTCAGTAAGTAGGATTCTCACTAGGAGACTAGAACATCAAGCTATTTTCAGGCTGTTGCCAACAGACAAAATATTATTTTCTAAAATATTCTCAGTAGTGCTAAGGAACACAGACATGTGGATTTTGTTATCCTCCCACATATCTGACATTGGTGCTTTCCATCTACATGGAAAGGACAACATGTTTTCAGTTTTATAGGCCAGCTGGAAAGGAATGGTACTACAACATATGGTGTCTCCTTCTCTTCATTAACATGTTGCTATAATTTATACAAATTTTCACCAATTTAAAATGAGCTCAGACATCAGTTTTTGAGATTCCAAACTTGGTACAACACCAAATTAACCAAAAATTCCACCACAAAAATATATTAATTCAACCGACAGAGACTGTCCCATAATTATTTAAATGATAAAATATAGCTAACATGTTTTCCCCTTGCCAGTGTGCAAGAGTTCAGTGCCAAATTCCCCCATTTTGGAATCAAGCTTTAGTTTTTCTCTTGTAAATCTCTGTGATGCAATTTCTCTAAAATGATCATAGTGTTTTAAAAACGATATTACAGTTAAAGGGATGGAGTCTTATTTTTTCTTTCAGTGTTTCCATGATCAAACTCACAAGGTTCTGCAGACTTTTCTCCAAATCACCATCAATCCTTCTTCCAAAATAAATTAAATAAAATCATTTCCCTCTCATACAAAAAAAAGTCTTAAAAGACAATAAAAAAATCATTATTTTTTCTTGTAGAATTTGTGGAAATGGTCCAGTGCAGAAATTTATCCAATATACTACCGTGCTGTCACCATCCAAAGTCCCAGTGCTACATTGGCAGCCAAAAGTGCACTGCCAGCAAGCAAAATTAAAAAGCCAACAAGCTCTCTGTTTTGTTTCTCTACAATCAGTGAACTAAGAGTGGCTTCCAGAAAAGAGTTTAATATCCATTGGCCATCCAAAGCAAAGCATGGTACTGCGTTGATAACTGCCAAAGCCCCTGAGAGTGAAATTAGATATCTAATTAACATTTGTTAAGGTTCATAAAGAAAACAGCCTACCATAAGATAAACCTCTGGAAGAAAAATATTCCCTTTTTATTGCTAGCATGTAGGAAAGAATATATGAGTTGTTCTTCACCATACAGAATGCAGTCACAAAATTACATTCTGGGATTCAGCTCAGGGAATCCACTTAAAGGAAATTATCAATTGTTTGGATCTTGAAAAGTTCTCTTCCCCTTAAGTCGGAGTTAAAAGCTGGCACATTAGATGAAGAGTTTGCACTAAAGCTGCCTACTTTCCTCAACTATTTTGTGCAGTTTTTGAGGACTCTGACCTAGATTCTGACTCTGTGTATATGCCTACAAACTTATGCCATGGTATGAAATAAGTGGGGATGTTCTTCAACATGCTCCACTGCTGGACAAAGCCAGGCAATCTGTGAATCTGGGTCTATTCTCCCCTCTCACTGGCCGGTGAAGCAAAGTCACACTGGGTGCATCTACACAAGATGTTCAAAGCACAATAGACTAATTCTACTGCACATTAGCACATCACGGCAAAAGCCATGCTAATGCGTTGATGAGCAGAATTAGTCTACTGTGCACTAGTGTCACCTAAAATATGTGCGCCAGTGCTACTGCGCAGCAGAACCAATTATGGTGCACTAAGTTAGTACCTGTTATTACAGGTACCTGTTATTACAAGTACTAAACTTAATGCACATACATATAGATGACTACATGTTGGTCAGTGGTTGGTAATACTTCTGCTATAGGTAGCTGTGAGTTCCTACAGAGCCCATCATCTAAAAGCAGGAAAAGAAGTATGACTCAGAAGCACATGCAAGTCACTGTACCCTTTTAGCTGCTGCTAGATTGGCAAGAATTCATACATCAGCCTTTATGGCCTTAGGTTCACCCCTGAATAATCTGCCCCTAGAGATTTTAGTTTGTAGCCATTGTCAAAAGACACGTGTATATAAAAACTAAAGCCAACACCACCAAAGGTGTTTTTAGGACAGCATTTCTTGAGTGGTTTGGTTTTTCTTTTCCTCTCACAAGGAGAAAAACTATAGGGGGGGAGAGGAGGGAGTGAAAAATCCTACAGTGTAACTTGGCTCAAAGTACTGATCCAAAAAGGCAACACTCATAGCTTTTCCATGTAGAAACTGGCAGCAATGTATCTTTTTTTTTGCCAGAAGAGTTCAGTATAGAATCATAGAAAATTAGGGTTGGAAGGAACCTCAAAAGCAGGACCATTCCCAAGTAGGTTATCCCAGTCAAGGCTTTGTCTAGCTGAGTTTTAGAAACTTCCAAGGATGAAGAGTCCGCAAGAGGGTAACCTGATCCAGTGTTTTACTACCCTCCTAGTGAGAGTTTTTCCTAATATCTAACCTAAACTTCCCTTGCTGCAACTTGAGACCATTGGTTTTTGTCTGTTACCTGCCACCACTGAGACCAGTCCAGATCCATACTCTTTGAAACCCCCTTCAGGTAGTTGAAGGCTGCTATTAAATCCCCCCTCAGTCATCTCTTCTCCAAACTAAATAAGCCCAGTTACTGCAGCCTTTTCTCATATAAAACATGTTTCCCAGCCCCCTAACCATTTTCACTGCCTTCCACTGGACTCTCTCCAATCTGTACACATCCTTCCTGTAGTGTGGGGCCCAAAACTGAACACAGTACTCAAGATGTGGCCTCATCAGTGCTGAATAAGGGGGCATAATCACTTCCCTTGACCTGCTGGCAACACTCCCACCAATGTAGCCCAGTATGGCATTAGCCTTCTTGGGATTCTGGGGCATATTGTTGACTCATATTCAGCTTATGTACACAGTAACCCAGGTCCTTTTCTACAGAGCTGCTGCATAGCCAAATCAGCCTCCAGCTTGTAGTGATGTATGGGACTGTTCCATCCTATATGCAGGACTTCGCACTTCTGCTTACTGAACCCCATGAGATTTATTTTGGTCCAATCCTCCAATATGTCTAGGTTTCTCTGAATCCGAGCCCTACCTTCCTGC